AAGTTTAAAGTGACGAGAAATGTACTGATTGTGGAACTTCTGTGTACTAAAAGTTTGTATCGAGGAAGAATAAACTGATTTAATCAAGAAAGGACTGGTATCGCTGAAGATCCTCGGAAAGAATTTCTGCCGGAAACAAACAAACAAGCAGATACGTAACACTATTCTAATATTGTTAACTACTGTTGTAGAAATAATGATAGCGCAAGTAATCGTGGTTATGGGATTGTGCAAATCATTTAAATTACAATAATGTTCAGAGTGGTTACAATGAAACTTGTATATTAACAAATAGACACAACATATTATTATTAAATCTCTTATACACCATTGACCCTTTTCAATAAAAATCCAGATATTATTGAAAAAGGGAATCTACTTCTCTCGGTGGAGCTTAATGTTTTCATTCAGTGACGTACCAACAATGTACAACTTGTTATATCATGCTTGGAGAAATAAAATTTAAAATCTATTTGATAATGTAATTCAATCAGAATTCGCTGTAATATAAAATAAAACATTTAACAGCACAGCTACCAATTAGAAATTGTTATTATGCACGTTATAGACATTTATATGTTCTCAATCACCACAATACATGGGTTAAATATCACGTTTCACATTACACAACAACTAACTGGGGCTTAAACAGTAACTTCATCACTAATTTTAATCATTCCTCAAGTTGTTCCACGTATTAAATCTATCAGAAACTAAACATGTAAAAAATTACTTTTTTAAAATAAATCCTTTGATATTTATGAAACTTTTACCTTAGTTTTAAATATTCACGCTAACTACTTTTTTCTTATTCTGCTATAAGGTTTTTAGCAAATCTAATTGCTTCTGTTTGTGGTAGCATTGAAGATTCACGTGAGTGAAGCGTGCAAAGATATTTTGGACAAACTAGGAGGTTATGTCCTGCAAGAAAGAGGACTAATACCTGTCAAGGTGAGTTGAGTTTACTCTGAAAAAGTAAAATGTTTTACATGAATTTCTCTGTTTTCAAAAATGAAATTTTAAAAACCATAAGGATTAATTAAAAAAGTTATTCAAATGGTTATCGTTGCTCGAGAAGAGGGAAATATAGTTGAGCATTCTGAATAAAAAGGGTTTGAAAATCAACCCAAGTATACGGTTGAAATAGGCAAGGTGATTTCCATAATACTTAACACGAGAGCTTAAAGAATAGCTTTGTATTAAATGAATCCCATGAAATAGAATTTGCATTTTGATGGGTATTCGAATTGGGAGATTAAACGCAAGAATAATTTAAGGAAAAACACGTAAATTTCATTGACAGAAAAATTAAACTAGAGATTTTTAAAATTATAAAACAAAATCTGAAGACACATTTCAGCAGAACCGTCTATTTATATTCATAATGTTGAGGAGAATCTTTGTTATTCTTCTGAAACCCACGAAGCTGCCGAGATAAAGAGAGACTTAAACAAAATCAAAGTAGTATGAATAATTTATACTGGTAGGTATATTTAAGTATATTTGTGTTTGGCTAGGAAATAAAGGCTTACTGTGGTATGATGTTTACGGGATTGAACGCGTGATATGTATATCGTAAGTTCGAATCCCGTTATTATATGTATTCACTCGTTGAAATGTAATGTTTTTACTCTTAAATTCAGAAATTTGTATTTATTTACTAAGTAGAAAATATGAATTTTCTCAAATTGGGATTTTTTTGTTGTTTGATTAAAACATATTTTACGTAATATAGTTAAATAAAATGGAAAACAATAGAATCGTTCAAAAACAAATCTTCTACATGAAATATACGTCAAACTGCTTAAAATCGATGGAATTTCAGACGTTTTTCAAAGATTGATAAGCCTAACATCTATATGTAGATTGATGGTCTATGTGACAGTACATCATAATAAGACTGGTAATACTTTTTTAGCAAACCTTTCTTTACTAGCCCCATGCTTGTATATTATTCTTGCCCCCAGTGGCACAACGCTAAAAACCGGGTTTTGATACCCATGGTGGGCAGAGCACAGATAGCCCATTGCGTAGCCTTGTGCTTAATTTCAAACAAATATATATGTATATTATTCTTATTGGAAATTCTTATACTGTCAGTAAAGAAAGAAAGATTTATTAAAAAATTATTAACAATCTTATTGTGGTGTAATTTTACAAAAACCACTCATGGACATTATAGTTGCTCTAATGTTAGTTTCATAAATAATATTTCTTATAGCGTTTATTTTGTTTTATTTTTACACTTATGAAGACAGTTTTCTTAAGGTGGACGAACCCCATCAAATACTTTTAGGAGTGTGGTTAAAATATCGATAATCGATAATAGAGAAGGTCCCCTATTCATGAATTAATGCATTTTAATAACTATAAGTTTTCATTTTTTTTCTGATTTGTTTTATGGCATTATATAATCATTAATTATCTTTTTATATAGATTTAGCTACATTATTTTTAAGTTGTTTTCTAGTTCTGATCTATGTATTTAGCTAATTTTAATCAGACGTTATTGAAAACAACTTAGAAAGGAGACCAGTTTCAATTATAAACTGAGCTGATTTATCAAATTTAGGCTTATCTAAAACAAGTAGAGAAATAAAACGATCTAATTTTTTCAGAGTCCGTTAAATTAGTCAACTAAAATATATTGAAATAGTTTTAAATAATTCATTGTTGTTTTATAATTATATAAATATATATATATTCTTAAAATTAATAGTCTAGAGCTCGTGAAACAAAGACAAAAATATCGTGGATTTCTTGTAATATCACACGTGTTTTAAACACGTAATATGCATATAACTGATGCCATCTATTTTTTGTTTTGTGAGTTATTAATTAAGCAATTGTATATCAAGAACAAAATAAACAATTTTATTGAAGGGGAATATTAATTGTAGGGCTGTTACACATAGTTTTAAGGAATGAATCAAGTAAGACTGTGAGCAAAAGTCCGACAATAATTGTTTGTCTTTTTTCAAACTGAACCATGGGATGAGTTCAAAATAATATTGTTTGCTTGTTTTTTTATATTCGTGCAAAGCTACACGAGGCCTACCTGCGCTAGCCGTCCCTACAGGGAAGGCAGCAAGTCATCACCACCCACCGCCAACTCTTGGGCTACTCTTTTATCAACGAATAGTGGGAATGACCGTCACATTATAACGCCCCCACGGCTGAAAGGGCGAGCATGTTTGGTGGAACGGGGATTCGAACCCGCAATCATCAGATTACGAGTCGAATGCCCTAACCACCTGGCCATGCCGGGCCTCAAAAGAATATTAAACAATGTCGTTGTTGGCGACAAATATTCAACATTTAGACTTACTGAGACTTACTATTTACTGACAGTAAAAACATTATATAGCTGGGATTCGTTTCAAATATCATGTTCTTCAAGACGATAAGTAAGTGAAAAAAGTTTTGCATGTTCTTTCGGATTTCTATTTGATTAGCTAAAGAAGTGTTTCAATGTTCAACAGCGACACTGGACTTAAAATAGAGTTACTATAATGTTGTTTCATATAAGTTACTATAAATCTCTAAATGAAACAACATTATAGCGGCTCTACTTGAAGTTCAATATCACTATGAATCACTGAAGTACTCTTTGAGCTAATTAGAGATTTATAGTAAACTATGGGAAACAACATTATAGTAACTCAATTTTAAGTTCAGTATCACTATGAATTAATGAAGCACTCTTTGAGCTAAATAAGGTATTAAAGTCACTGGTTAACCCATGCTTCCAAGTTGTTTCTGAGTTATTGTCATGTAGCTAAAAATAGAAACAATAAATATAGATATTAAAAGTTTCTGGATTACAATCTTTTTTATTTAGGGTAAAGGAGAAATGCGAACTTACTGGCTCGTCAGAAAAGAGAGCGATATTGTCGTGTTTTCTTGTGACTCAAAATCAGAAGAAACGCTAAATGATCTCACTGAGCTTCATATTCCTACAACGAGTAATGACGTCATCAAAGATGGCAATGAAAATGCCAACCAGTGCCTGTCAGTACCCGTGGTAGCACACCAGAAAACTATTACTCCCTTTCCGGACTTCAGCTGGTTAATAAGCCATGAAGTAGCGGAACAAGAAACTTCAAACAGTGGGAGACGCAAACGCGTTTCACAGATTTCAAACTACAGCAGCTGTGGAAGTTTATTTCAAGATTGTAAGAAAAACATTCTCCGAGAGCTTCGCAGCAACAGTCGCCCAACTACGAAAGGCTATAGATCAGCTCCTATCATAAGCTTCCGTGATAGAACGTCGTGTCGTGATTATCTCTTATAATCTCCTGGTTGTAGGTGAAATTTTCAATGATCTCATTTATTTATCTTTAAATCAGTTTTAGGATGTTATCGTAACGGGTTATGAGTATTATGGATTTCAATTTTCAAAGAAAGTTCTGCAATTACAACAAGTGACATTAAGTTCCTCTGGATCACTTGGGAGGATCCACCTGACCTCGAAAGATCATCTATGACTGGTTGAAAACTACGACTGATTTATTTATTTTCTTTTTTAATATAAGCGCAGCATGTGTATTACCTCTTTGAACTAACTAGTCACAATAAAAAAAATACATGTGAGAGGAAATTTGGAAGTAGTTAAGCTCCAAGCAGAAGTTTTCTGGTATACTGTACTGTGCTGAGCTACGTCTAGCCAGTGTACGCTATTTGTATTATCGGTTACTTCCTACGTATGGTTAATAATCGAATGTGTTTTGTTTTTGTCCTGCAAGTCGAATGGTAATCTAATAACTACACTAGCAGTTATATATCACTATATATATATATATAGAGAGAGAGAGAGAGATTATTACAGAATATTTAGGTCTAAATCCTCTATGACAAAATAAATAAATAAACAAAAAAAAACGAATTTTATATTATAGCCAAGACAATTTTATGCTATGGAAATGTTTAATTTCTAAAAAAAAAAAAAAAAGGAGAAACATGTTCCGTTAATCTTCAGTCATAAACACCCAAGCTATTGATTTTCATTGTTTTGATATTACTACTTACTACAACCCGATCAGTTGGACAGTGGTTACAAAATAAATCTTCGAATAGTTTAAAAAATAACAGTGAAAAATCTATCGTTTCGAAAATAGCGTTTGGTGAAAAAAAAAAAAAAGGTACAAAAATAACTTCTTCATAGAACCACGAGGAAATGATAAGGCTCAATAAAGTAGGCTGACACTCATTTAATCTACGTGACGTCACATACCCGTGTGGAAGATTTTCGAAACTTCTATATTTTAATAGGACAAATAATATGAAATATACGGCAAAGAAAAAAACATCCACATTTACTTATAGCTTTAAATGTGGTGTACAACTTGTTATTCATGTAAACATTTTTAATAATGCACATATATATATACATATTTATTTAAATGTAATCATGTAAGCTCAATCGCCTTCATAAAATGACTTCCTTTCCTCCGATCATAATTGAACTTTGACATTATATTTATAGAACCGAATTCCTGGTATATACTTATGTATCTATAGCTTTCCGGCCTCAAACGTTCAGCTTATAGAATTGTATGCTGTTTCTATGGTATGATTTAGAATTATAGTATATATATATATATATATATATATCTCTACTTGTTACTTTGTAATTATTACTCGCACTACTGCTA